ATGTTCCATTGACATTTTCAGTATTCATCTAACCAACCAGAAGGGGAAAAAAGAGGCAACGAGGTGTGTTATTGGCAGTTATTAAGCAAAATGCTTTAACCTCAGCCAAAACAATTATCTAAATGGCCACTAAATGTTTTAATTTAACAACTTGGAACATTCTGCAGGAAAACTCTTTCTCTTTAAACAGAGAGAACTGAAAGCTGCTTATATTTATAAAGTTCTTACATGAGAAACGCCACCTGTTTCTTCTGGAAAGGTTTCAAACTCATTCTAAAAATGTGACAGGGAAAATGTGACAAAGAAAGAGTTCATCTGAGACAGTGAGCATAGGCTGACTTTGTGAGTGATCACAATCTCTTTCCTTATAATAGAGGAATGAACTCCATCTAGGCTCTGTACCACAAAGTGAGATCAGTGGCTTATCCAACTAACTTTGGGCTCAGCTCAGGTTTTCTGATACAGAGAAGCCGGCTCACTTTTAATCAGGCTAGATCACCACGGTACCTCATAATGCACAACTGACCCGTTGTGGAGCAGGTTAACTTCAGAGGATCAAATCAAAACCCGTCAATATCCTGAGTGCCAACCAATCAGATCATTGGAAAAACTTAGTGGTTATTCTAGCATTTCTATATCTTCATATTCTGTTCTAGTTATTTGAATATTGTCTGCAGTTCACCCGTCATAACATCACTTTTTGCTCTGGCTTTAAACGATTTTCTCCACAGTTATTACTGTTCCATCTCACATTATTTTCAGTGGCCTTCTTCACTCATGGTGCTGTTGCTTCTAATTAACAACTCTGCTTCTTTCACATAATCACACTCATAGCCTGATAAGAAAACCCAGATTTAACAGAGCCAGTTGATAACCAGCATCGTGGTACCAGTTACCCAGGATGGCCAATGTTACGTGTGTATAGACAACTTTCCATCCACTTTGCTCTTAATATCTGTGTAGCAGTAGTTGATGGCAACAGGAAATCTTTCTGAAATGCACATATTTATACTGAAACATAAGACTAACTTTGGGCAGAGGTTTTCATTTAGAACCCCTTTGGAAGAATATCCAAATTCTCTAAACTTGGGAAGCTAATGAATCAGGTATCAAGTTTTTACCCAAAACTATCCTTTGTAAACATCCATCCAAATTTACGGATTCCTGCTTCAATTTTAACCTACAATATTTAACATTACAATGCACACTAACCCTCACAGGCCTACAGTTGTAGAATTGACATAGATTCAAACTGTCTATAGTACTACCTATTTCTACACTACAGTATAGACGTCTAATCTGACAATGCTGTTACCAAATTTAAGGAAATAATTCCATTATTATTTACTTCAGTGCCATTTGACACACAATGGAGGGAGACCACCTTAACTTTACTCCAAAACAAATGAATAATCTTGTTGATAGTACTGCAGCCTCCCTGCATATGGCACTTGGTACTGTTGCCCCTCTGAAAAGGAAGGCAGTGAAACAGCGGAGGCCCCATGGTACAGCTCGCAGCTCCGCTCCCTAAAGCAGGCATCAAGAAAACTGGAAAGGAGGTGGCGCTCCACTAAGTCAGAAGAGTTTTTCATAGCCTGGAAAGATAGTTTAATAACATATAATAAAAAACCTTCATAGTGCCAGAACCACATATTATTCATCACTGATAGAGGAAAATAAGAACAACCCCAGGTTTCTTTTCAGCACTGTAGCCAGGCTGACAAAGAGCCACAGTACTGTTGAGCTTAACATTCCCTTAGATTTCAGCAGCAATGAGTTTATGAGCTTCTTTACAAATAAAATTCTTAAAGAAAAACATTTATCAAATCCTTCCCACAACTCTCACAGATGTGTCATCAAGTACAATGGCTTTACAAACATCTGTAAGACCTCATTTATATTTAGACTACTTCTCTCCCATAGATCTCTGAGTTGACTTCAACTATTACTTCATCTACTAAATCATTAGCATGTCTCTTCGGCCCCATCCCGACCAGGCTGCTTAAAGACATTTCCTAGATCTGATTAACCTCTCTCTATTAACAGGTTATGTTCCACAGGCTTTTAAACTTGCAGTAATTAAACCTCTACTCAAAAAGCCTACTCTTGACCCAGGTGTCCTAGCTAATTATAGACCAATATCCAATCTCCCATTTATTTCCAAAATCCTTGAAAAAGCTGTTGCAAAGCAGTTATGTGACCACTTGCACAAGAATGATCTGTTTGAGGATTTTCAGTCAGGATTTAGAGTCCATCATAGTACAGAAACCACATTGGTGAAAGTCACCAATGATCTTCTCCTAGCCTCAGACAAAGAACTTGTCTCTATACTTGTCCTCTTAGATACTGTTGCTTTTGACACCACTGATCACAGCATCTTACTACAGAGACTTGAACATGTTACTGGGATTAAAGGAACTGCACTAAGTTGGTTCAAATCTTATTTATCAGAAAGATTTCAATTTGTTCATGTTAATGATGAATCTTCCAAGCAGACTGAAGTTAGTCATGGCGTTCCTCCACTTAATCCAAAATGCTGCAGCCAGAGTACTGACAGGAACTAGCAAGAGAGATCATATCTCTCCCATATTAGCTTCTCTCCACTGGCTCCCTGTAAAATCCAGAATAGAATTTAAAATTCTTCTCCTAACATACAAAGCCCTTAATGACAAGGCTCCATCATATCTTAAAGACCTCGTAGAGCCTTATCATCCTAACGGAGCACTTTGCTCTCAGAGTGCAGGTCTACTTGTGGTTCCTAGAGTCCACAGAAGCAGAATGGGAGGCAGAGCCTTTAGCTATCAAGCTGTGGAACCAACTCTCAGTCTCAGTTCAGGAGGCGGACACCCTCTCTACCTTTAAATTAGACTTAAGACTTTCCTTTTTGATAAAGCTTATAGTTAGGGCTGGATCAGGTGACCCTGAGCCTTCCCTTAGTTATGCTGCTATAGGCCTAGGTTGCTGGGGGCCCATGATGCTCTGAGTTCCTCCTCTCTCTCCGTGCAGCTATATGCCAGCATTACGTCATTAACTTTGTGTCTTCTCTCTCCCGCAGTGTGTTCTCTCTCTCCCTGTACCTTACTTAGTAGCCGAGCTGTATGTTTCTGATAAGCAGTCAACAGCCACATCAGCCTGACCAGTGTTTGTTTGTTGTGTCTTCTTGCTTTTCTTTCTTTTCTCTCTCCTCTATCCACTCACCCCAACCGGTCGAGGCAGAAGGCCGCCCACCAAGAGCCAGGGTCTGTCGGAGGTTTCTTCCAGAACACACTTCTTTCTGTCAATCCTAAGACAAATTTACCTGTATAATTGCTAGGGGTGTAAAGTAATTGATATGTATTATAAAAATCGATACAAGTGTCAGAGATATGGCTGAAGCGGGTCAGGAAGGGATAAAAAAAAAATTCTATGTGATAAGTGAATTCAAAACTTTAATCAAACTTCGTAAAGTGATTCAGCACCTAAACCCTAACAAACAGGATTCATTTCAATGTGCACAGAGCCAAAAGCCTCTTCTCTTCAGCTCACATCCATTCCAAGTATTTATGCCTGTTTTAGCAGTTGGACTGGTATGCTGGGAGATAAGCAGGGAAATAAAACTCTCTCCTACACCCGCATGGAAACTTTGAGACCTTATTTCTGAGTCTGTCACACTTCTTGCTTTCCCTTTCTATACTGTTGTCATCTTGCTCCCAGCTCTCTTTCTCTCTGATGAACCTCGCCTTTCCTCTCTCCAACTCAGAACAGGGTGACAGGGAAGTGCCCTGGCAGGAGGTCTGTCAAATTACAACCCCTGCTACTATCCATTCATCTCTTCCTCACTTCCTTCTCTTCTGCCTGCCTCTCGATTCCTTTCATCATTCTCCACTAATGAATCTCATGCACTCCTCTTTCTTTTCTCCCATCTTTCCGCAAGCTGTTCACAGTCCTGTGCTCCATACATCTCCACCCCTCCCCCATCCAATTATCCCCATTCCAAATTCTTTTGCTCATGCAGTGAACATCTGAGTGCTTTGTTGTCATCTCACTTGTTGCAGCAGGAGAGAGGAATAATATCCTGTCTGCTTCCTTGACAGCTTTTTTTTTTTTTTTTGCATAGATTCCACAGTTTACACACCTTGACTAAATGCTTTTCAGATTCAGATAACTTTCCATTTGGGAACCACTTGGAAAGAAGAGCAGAGGTTCTAAATTGATAAAGGCATGAAAGGGCTACCATAATCATATGCAACATTTACAACATTTTTTCCTGCAAAATATACACATATAGATTTTTATAAGGATGTGTTTTCCAAACAGATGAGAGATGACTGAGTATGTCTGTCAAGCTTTGACTGTTTTAAACTGAAGCTTTTATACATACAGAAGAAAGTAGGTATTTGTTCTTAAATTATTAAATAAGTCCTAACAGTCACTGATGAACTGCTGGGGTATGAAGTGGACCCTGAGCAGACCCTGAAGGAATGGCCTGTGTTTAGGCTCTGAATAAATTCTGAATCAACTTGAGTATAATTTCTGCCTCTGCCTCCCCATTTGACTGTCAAAAGAGAATTAATAAAGACAATCTCATAAAAGTGTAAAAGACACAAAAGTGTAAAAGCACATAGAAAGTTACACAGTGTGCTACTGTGTATTTAAATGTGTGTGTTGTCCCACTCTCTGGTGCTACTGGGCTGCACATGCTCAAAGAGGGCCAAGGGTTGTGGTAAATTGTCAGGAACTAAAATATATGGTAACATGTCACTTTAAAAAAAAAAACTGTAATTGCAAGGTAAGTGCTATAGGTCATGTTTTGTTTTTGTAGCTCTGTGAATGTGTCTTGGGATAATTTAATAGCTTGTGAGCCTTTTTTAAAGCAGTGATAAACCTATAATCTTAGTAGGGGGTGTAATGTTTCCAGTTTTTAGAGCACTATGCTCATTCAATTAAATTTAATAAGTGAAACTCTAGTGTGAACTCCCTCCTCGTTACACAGATCAAGTCTATGTGCATCTTATACTCACGGCCTCGGTGTGGACAGGGTGCACAGCAAAGAGGAGAGCTGTGACGAAGGCCAGACGCGAGTCTTCAAACACGCAGCATTCACATGTGTGCATTAGCAGGCAGGTTACGGCGCAGTGCAAAAACACGTTGACGATGTGGAAATACAGAGGTGTCATGCCGCCCAACACGATGTTCAACCTGACAGACAGAGAGACAAATAATCAGAACTGTGAAATAAGACAGAAGATGTATTTGTGATATATCTGAAAGTGATTTGTTCATGTACAAAAGATATTAGAAATTATAAAAACCCATCTTTTGTCATCTTTTACATTTAATATTGCATAAGAACCTTAATTAGCTTTTTGTTTTGTTTCTTTAACCCAAAAGCACTATCAGATGGTCAAAGAGGTAGTTTTAGCTGCAGCACAAACTCAACCAAGAAGGGAACATTTTGAAACTAAGGATGCACAACTCTGTGACCACATTCAGTGAAACGATGTCGGGCTGGAGAGGTGAATGAGACACAACTGAACTCTCCAACTCTCTGCGGACCAAGTAGCAGCAGCATGATGACTTCCTGTCTCTTACCATGATATATCCTCCTGTGCTGGAGACTGGGCCATGACCTAAATAGGTTGTTCATTATTTTAGAGAGCACCACATCAGCAACTAATAGCTAGGGTAATTTGCCTTAATAAATCCCTGCAAAATAAAATGGACTGCATAAAACTCTACAGACAAAAGAGGCAGACATTAAAAAACAGGGTGAAATTCTTTAGGTAAGCTGTGAATATGATGAAAACCTTCTGAAATAAAAGATAGCAGGTAATTAATGGCTGGCAAAATGGCACCATGTCCCTGACTGAATCTTTGAACATCAAGTAACTTTTTTTTTCTAAAATACCTAAAGCTTATTTGGGAAATGAAGCTCTCGCATTATCTGAGCCTGGTTCTTTTGGGGCTAAGCAGTGTCATCCATCACTTTCTTACCCATCTTTGTCATTTGTTATTTTTCACTCGTCATCTGCTGCTCTTATCTCTTTCGATTATCTGCCCTGTCTGTCATCCCCACCAACACCGCCCTTTACCAGAAAAGCATCACTCACCACTTCTGCCTTCACTGTCTTTTGACATCTGTCCTCATGTTTCTATTTTAATCCAATGGCCTATTGCTAACCCTCCCTCCTTTTCTTTCTTTCACTCACTCTCCTTCTCTCCTTTTTCTCACTGCAATCACAGCTCAGTTCAGGGAGCACATCAAGCCCTGGCTGTAAAAATGGCCTTGAGGCTGTGTTGTGTGCGTGTTCACTCTCTCTGTGTGTGTCCTTCACCTTGATTGCCTCCCAAAAGCCCTGCAGTGTTCTCCAGCACAGAAAAGACTATGCTGGACTGACTGCACATTCGCCATAGAGTCACCAGGGGGTGTGTGCATGCATGCTTGTGGGTAAGGGTATGTAATGCTACATTTCCACTGTCAGAATCTAACGAGCAGTATACCCTGTACTTCCCTTAACCATCATCAAGCAGGGCCTCCTGGGTTCACACAGAGCGTCCTGCTTTTTTTTTTCCCCCATTGTATCTTCTGTCAGTCTGGGTTTAAAGGAAGGAGGGGCTGCTCTCCTCTCACACACACAGTCAACTGTGTTTACACACAATGCTTGTAATACTAATGCTTGAGGTGTGACGACACAGACGTTTAACTAATCACTAGCAACTGCTCTGCACCCCTCCCCTCTTGGTTTCCTGGTACTTGATTTTAGTACTACCTCCTGAGGGGTGCTGAAATGTAGGTTCCAGGACACACCTCCAAAGCAGGCAGACAGTAGTGGAAATAAACGCAAAACCCGTGATGAGCGTTATTCAGCGGGACACGTTTTGATAGGTTCCTATAATGGAAAAACCCTTTTAGTGACCCCTAGGACACAGGTGTTAGTGGAAGGCACCCATCTATTCCTCTCCATGCATAAATAGCCCTTCTTCCAGATAACAGCTCATGACTTGGTTCATGCAGAATACAAGTCAGTCAGAGCTGTAAAGGCTGAGTGTGCAAACAGAGTGGATGCATGTTTGAAATGTTATCAACATTACACATTAGTCAAACGGAATCTGGAAGGATTTCAACAAAGTCCAGCTACAACATTCTAGCACTTTGCACACTTCCTTGCCACCTATTACACTGCACCTTCAACCTTCACAGTATCTTTATATTCTATTTAACACAAAGGCTTTCATAATGTGAGGCAAGGATCCCCAGGGGAGTGTACAGAGAGACATTAGGCAGAAATATTTGTGAGGTGAAAGACAGTTACATGATAGTGGAAATTAGTGTCAGTTGCTGCTTATTTGGCCCACTTAACAGCATTGGTTGTGATACACAGCTCAAGGGGGGCAATAAAGGTGCTTGAAGTGGCAAAATGAAGCAACTGCTGAGTTGTGTTCAAACAGGAAGCAAAGAAAAGTGTTGCCTTGCCTCATATCAGCAGATTTTCCTTAAAAGGCTAATGTATCCTCTGTACAGTAGGGATGGGCAATGTCCCCCGCCCCCACAGATACTAATTGGGGGGAATTCATTTGTGTCATTTCATTGCAGTTGTATGTAATTGCACCACATCTAAATTTGACCTTGCATTCTGTCGTATTGCAGCTGGAATCTACAGGAGTTAAATGCCAGCATTGGAAATATGATGAACAGCACATCAAGCTACAATGACTGGCTCTACTGACTCACTAGCGTGTAACCTGCACCACAAACAGAGACTGGAAGTCTCAAGTAGAGATAGAAGTGGTGGAGACAACATGAGCCTTCATATTACAATGGCAGAAAAGGCTCATACTGTTGTGCACACACTTGCATGAGGTAATCTTTAACATACAGTCAAGACGGTACCCGCACAATGTTACTGAAAAGAGGATGGAGGGGAACTGCTTTCTAAATTTTGTCTGCGGGGATGGTGTGTACAACAGTGTCAGCCTCTGAAAATACCTGGTGTTACATATTAAACTGTACCTTACCCCACATGCAAACACAGCTGTGTAAATTGTTTTTCTGGGACCAGAGCCAATCCCAGCTGACACTGGGCAAGGGTCAGGGAACACACTTCACAGGTCACCAGTCTATCAGAGGACTGAGACATTCATGCTCTGGCCAATTCAACTTAACATAGTTGCATGTCTTGGGCTGTGGAAAAACCAGAGTACCTGGAGAAAGCCCACACAGACACAAGGGTATAGGATAACATATTTTGTCAGTGTCTTCCAATACTGTTATAAAACACTATTTGGTTAAGGTTAGGCACAAAAACTTGTGCATTACTTGGGAAAGATCAAGGTTTGCCTCAAAAGAAGTAGTTGGGAAGTTAAACAAACACTGGCAAATTTCTACAGAGAGAAAAAGAGCAAAGAAAATGGGTCTGACATTCAGTGTAACCTGAATTAGTCTAATCTTAATTCTTTATTTCCCCCCAGTGTAAACCAGAGCCCCTTTCAGACATACACTCCTTTCGATTAATCTGACGGCATCTGAAAGTGTCGTCTTCATGTCTGAATGAGCCCTCTGGTCACTTTACTGGGAAAGTGGAGACAGAGTCTAACTAGGTCAGACCTAGTAACATGTATGCATCACTTTCAACACGACACAGGTCTAAATTGCATACAGCTGCATTAACACATATGCACACGCAAGATTACAACAACCTAGCTAACCTAGATGTTTAGCATGTATGGCAAATTTCATGCGCACGCCGTGGCTTTCTCCATCACAGTCATGGGTATGTCTGGATGAGGCTGTGAGGAACATTAATGTAAAAGTGACCACATTGATGAAGCCAGCTATGTTTCATATCCCATGTCTGAAAAGAGATTGTGTGCTTTTGCACACCTACACCTTTCTCCACATGCAAGCAGCAGCTAAGGGTTAAGATCTGTGTGAGGGCTCTCTCACTAGACATTCTTAACGGTGGAAAAGAATTTCTCTGCACATTCATTACCTACCCAGGTATGTCTGGAGGGTATGCCAAGTAAACCAGCATCCTTTACTGTACATAACAACTAGTGCTATCAAACATTTCGCAATAATGAGTTAACACAAATTCCTTTTGATGGAACTAAATTTTTGACGTGCAATTAACACACATACATTCTGTGATTATGACTCTTGGTAGTTTCGGAAATCACGAAGTGATGCAGCATTAAGGCTGTGAATGACACTCAGAAACAAACCTCCTTGAGCACAAACCGATAACGAAAAGGGTCTTTTGAGTGGCAAGTTCAGCTTCAAAGCCCTACCAGATGGCTCAACAAGACCAAAGTTATTTGTTTTAACTGTGTGAACTGAGTTACCATCGGAGTACGTCGAGTCTCAAATCCCAGTTGCTGGCCAAGCACACAGCTGATGCAGAGAGCCCTCCTCCCCCTCCGCCAAAGGCAAACCATGCTAGATAGTTGGCAACTGAGATGCTTTAAACAGTGATAGCTAACTGGGTGACTGCAGCTCGCAGGCCGATTAACACTGTGGAGGATGAAGGTCTGCTTTAAATAATTTGCATCCCATCCAAAGACTGCATGTATGAATTACCTTTGAGAGCCACCACTGTAACCAAGATACACAGCTTGTATGAAGATGAGAAAGCTAAAGTGGAGGAGACGCTGGGACAGACAAGCACAGCTGCACTCAGAAACTACTGGACTTGTCTCAGTAATCAGTTACCTCTAAAATGTAGTGAAGTCAAAGCATGAAGTATCAACAAATGAAAATACTCAAGTACAGATATCTCAAAATTGTACCAAAACTTTTGTTAAAGTGTGATGAATTGTGATTTAACATGGACAATCATGCAATTAAATATTTTAATTGATTGACAGCACTAATAACAACCTAATGAAGGTGGTGTAGAGAACCCGATGCCCAAGTTCACTGCTCAGAGCAGTGAACATTCTCCCCATAGGAGCAAAAAGGCAACATGTCACTCATGAAACATCACTTTTCCCTATAAAGTTTCAGGACCAATACTGTGGCTCTGCCATCTCCAGCACACACTCATGAATAAATGCGCTTTGTGTGTATTTCTGAGAGCAGATGCTCCCGCAAAGCTGTAAGCCATGATGTTCGCTCTCAGGAGAAACATTAAGCCGACAATATCTTCTTTGACAACTGTATTACCAGAGGGAGGACTGGCAAGCAGATGCTTGAGAGGCTGTAATGCTTCTGGGTAATTAGACTGAGTATCATCAAATAATAAAACCACCCTGCTGCTTGACCACCCACCCACACACACACACACCATGGTTCCCGCTCTCATAATCAGGGACTTTCAGTTTTAGTTACCTTAAGTGCACAGTGTGCTGATTCAATGCCACCTGGGATCACATTATGTCCTTCACCAGACCAGCCAGTCACACTGCATCAGGTTTCCCCTTTATGAAGCCCTGAGCTGCTAGTTCTGGGTGTGTACATTTTTTACTTTGTCTTCGAGACACACCACAGTCACATCTGTACTGTTAATATGAAGTTATTGCCAGCAGCCAGTAAGCAGAGCTTAGCATAAAGACCGGAAATATACAGAAACACCTATCATGGCTCTCTTCACTCCACCAGACAGTTTATCTCTAACTTTATCTGTTGGTTGGTGCTAAGCAGAGTGGCTTAAGTGTCTGTTTTAAGACAGACTCAAAGATGACATAAGAAATAACTAGTTCTAGTCTAAATAAATTTATTTACAGTATGTACACAGGGAAAGTGACTGGATTCAAGTGGTACATTGCACAGAGATGACTGGGGTTAATGGAAAACTGACTGAGGAGCGGCAGTGGTTCATGCAGGCATGCAACATCCTGAGCAAAGACTTCATCTACTAGTTGGAGTCCTCCAACGGGCTGGAAGGGGAGATTAATCTTTTAAGTTAATTCTATATGGCTCATAACGTCCTCCACCATGGCTGGTATGTTTGAAATACAAATTTCATATAAATGTAGTGTGTAAAAACACATTTAAAACACACAATTACGGGGACATTCTGGGGGGAAAAATGAACTGTTAACTTTGAGAATAAAAGACAAAAGTAATCACGTGTCAGCACACCATTATTAAAATTTTTTTTAAAAATCTAAACAATTTCATCTGGGGAGTGCTGAGGTAGTTAGGATGTCAACATAAGTCTCTGGTGGCATCTTAAAACAACGAGCAGCATCACCAGACTTCATGGAACACTTCTGTATCACTTCCACTTATACATTGTGGTTCACATTGATGTATCCTCAGGTTTGGAATCATTTCTCCTGTTATGAGAAACTTTAAGGAAGAGGTCTTTGCAATGGCTGAGCGGAGGTGTGTCCAGATATCATCAGCTTAACTAAAACATTTTTAACCTTCTTACAGATACTTCACACAACTTTTGGTTAACAAAATTTGACGTTTTCAAATCTAATGACATTTCCTTGTCCAGAAGAGAGAGTGAGTTTTAAGCCAAGCTTTATGACTCCAAGGCGAGTTAGGGTGTAAAGCTGCCTTTTAGTTGAAACAAAACAGACCATCAGCTCAGGTCTGGGGCAGGGCCTGGAGTCTTCTTCCCCTGCCTGGAATCAAGGCTAGTTTATTAAATATGAATATTCAGAGTAACTCGAGATAAAACATCAATTCAAAATGTCTACTTTGGACTTCTGGACACTACATTTTCAATACACTGAAACAGCCACAAGTTATAACTGTTATTGTCCACAGCTGGTAAATACAGCTAAAAGTAGTCGGCTATATTTAAGTTACTATAGAAAACTGATCACAGTAACTACCCATTACTCTAACACAGTAAAATCACATTCACTAGGATTTCATAACAAAGGTCCAAAGGGCCTGTGCTGCCTATGTGGGCACACACTGTTCACTAAAGTCTGATTCTGGAACATGACTACGGATACCAAGGCCATATCTCCTGTTATTCTGCCTCCCAGTCTGAACATTTCTCAACCAACACACAGTTCAATTTGGGAATACACAGACTTAATATTCTGAAATATAAACCTACTTGAGACTTTTATAGCATTACAATCTGAATTACATTATTTTAAGAAAAAAAAAAGAACTAAATCTTGGATGAGCAGACACATGCTCACTGGAGCACAGAATCCAGTTTTGCATCATTGGACATTTTCACTCGTTCAGAAACATTATGTGGGCTGTGCTCTCTTCCTCATGCAATCTTTGCAACCTAATATCATTTATAACACTCTCCCACCCGGTTCAGGAGGCTGGCCTGGTCCCTCCGACACAATCCAGCGCCAAACTGAGCACAGCAGACCCGCCCTCCTGGAGCACAGCACCGTGCAGAACAGCCAATGGTTTCCCATCCCCAGCCGCAGTTCCCACAACTTTCACATCACCTCCCTATGACCTAATGCACAGTGCACGTCCTACTCCACTGCCATGAAACTGTAAAGTGCTACAAAACTGCGCAACAAGTCAGTGGGTAGCTTGATTCCATACCATCTGATCTCCCTTTAATCCTTAACCCTGAATTTGCAACAACCCAGTGCTTAGGGCAAGAGGGCAGGATGTGCTGGGACAAGCTCGACGTGCAGCGGCCAGCTGAGCTGCACTCCCTGTTCTAACTCATTATATAAATATTTATCACGGGAACAGAGATTTGAACAGAATGGAAAGCATGTGTGGAGAAGAAGACGCTATAACTAATGATCCAAACGGGGTTAATGTCCAGTAATATCTTGCATCAACTCTAAAGTTGACTATGCAACAAGGTCCTTCCATACGGGACCAGCTGTATGACGTCAGCCTTTATTGCGTGTTTATATAGCTTTCATGCGGTTGTTAGCAGCTGGATTTGCACCACGGGATAAAGCCAAGATAACAACAGTTCTGTTAAACTAGCTTCAAGTGTTTGCTCTGGGAGCTCCAGGTGAGGGTAAAAGAGTGGAGTTGAGAGAGCGAGGAGAACTTACTTGAAGGTGAGGATGCACAGCGGTCTGTAGGACTTGTGGCTCGTATTGTCTGTCATCCTCTTTCCCCAGAAGTCGTTGCTAAAGATGTTTCTGAGACTGGAGCCCGGTCGGACGTCCGGGTTGTTGATGATAGCCCACACATCGTCGTGCACCAACTCCCCGCGGAGAGAGTTGCTGTAGCACAGGACGCACAGGATAGCCAGCACGGCGTAGCGACCCGCAGCCCACGATGCCTCCGACCGGAATATCACCCGCGGCTGCAGGCGAAATTTCTTCTCCCGCCCGGGCGCTGTCATGTCGGACCTGGCTTCTCCCGTGGCTCCGCTGAGCTGAAGATGAAACTGGGAGCACCGAATGATAGGTCCATTCCGCCGAGCAGGTAGCGTCTGTATGTACTGTCCTGTACCGCGGGGACGGTGTGGATGTAGTTGTGCTGCCTTCACGTGCGGTCGGACTTACAACTTACTGAATAGCAGGGATGTCAAATGTTCAATCCTAGTTGTGCACTTCTTTCTATACAAATATAAAATGTGATATTTTTTCTTGTTTATTGTATTTTTTCCATTTAGGCTAATATTTTAGCATAGGTTGGTTTATTAATTGACTAACTGATTGATTACCTTATATAGTTTTGTTGTTGAAATAAAAACTCGTGCGTTCATTCTTGACCTTGAAAACAGTCCTTTGACAATAAAAAAACGGTCTACTTCACTTTTCATCTTTCAATCACATCTGTCTTCCTCAGCAGAAGGAACAGCCATTGCAGGAATAAGCAAATATTTTTAAAGACACTCAAAGATGCTTTACATCGATTAGTAATCAATAAAACAGCAGCCTCATTACACACACATACACACGCACGCACAAAGAACCAGTAAAACAGACCTATAAAAAATAAAGAAATACACCAAAATAAAAAGATAAAAAATGGCCGCACACAAAGCATTAGTGGTACAGCTGATCATCAGTTAAAGCAGGTTTAAAATTAAAATTGGGTCAGTACATACATAGTCTAAAATTTTTCATAATAGCACTGACATACTGACATAGCATACAAGTTTAACATAAATAACATCAAAAGTATTTTTAGGAAAACAAACCATAAAGATTCTTCTGAAAACGAAAAATATTGGGATATGGACAAGTCTAATTGGAGATTATGAGGAAATAATGAAAGGAAGGGAGGAGCGAAGGTTTGTAGCAGTTTATAATGTTCGAAATCGTATTAGTATTAGTTTGGTTGAGCTATTAGTGTTGGATTTACGAGCTTATGTGAAGTACGTGAACGCGACAATAACACCAAGAACCCGCCTGCAGACGCATGCGCAGGAGTACGCTGCCTCTGCAGGCGGACTAAAACTTATATACTAGTGCATGATTACCATGGCACAGGTTTGAGCTTTTCTTCTGCGTGCGAATAAACTAAGTCGTCACATTAGGCCATCTTAGTCTGTAGGAGAGACTAAGCAAGATCATTCATTTAAAGTTGCATGTTCTACATATTTGAGCTTAAAGCACTCTAGCCATGTAAAAGACAGCTTGCTAAAATAATTATTTGTGCAATGCTATTGCTCAAAAAGTCTTAGTCTACATTATGTGCACTAAAGACTTCAAGTTTCTACCTGACACATGGATTACTCATACTGGATTGCTGGTTTTCAATCTAATTGTGATGACAAAACATTTTGCTGTGCATAGCCAATCTCAAACCCAGATTTTAGGTGAGGACAGAGAATCTTTCCCCTCAAGCAGATGAACATGAAAACAAAGTCTCCACATACATCATTCTGCACAGTGAAGCTCACACATCACCATAAAAACACAAGTGGCACAACACTTTTCTTTCACATTTTGGCACCCAGAAGAAATAGAAGCGCTACATTTAGACCTGGGTTCCTCTAGCAGAATTGCAGGTGGGATTCCTCAGGTGCTGTTACAGTCTGCTGGCGTTTGAAAAATGAGAAGCAGTGAATGGGTGGTGCAAGATCATTAGATCCAAGGGCATAGTTTTGCATATGGATGGTAGGGACATGTTCCTACCAAACCTTTGGGAGGACAGAAATGTCCCTGCCAATATTTGAGCAAACCCATGTGCATTATCTTTGCAGTCAAGTCATATTGGATCATTTTGATGTGCCTGACTGACTGAAACAGAGGGGAAACAAAATTGGAAATTGGACTACTGTTGGTCGAAGACGGAGAGGAGGTAGAAGGATTCATAGACAGAGAGAGAAGAGGAAAGGCAGGAGTATAGGTCTGAGAATAGGGACTCAACGTTGGCACAATGACAGGGAAAGGTAGAGAGCTGGCGGACATGATGGAGAGAAGGAAGGTATGGTGTGGACAGGAAGAGAAATGGGGTAGGAGTGATCCTGAAGGAGGAGCTCGTGAGGAATGTTTTAGAGGTGAAAAGAGTGTCAGACAGGGTGATCAGTTTGAAGTTGGAAATTGAAGGGGTAATGTTGAATGTAGTCAGTGGTTATGCTCCACAAGTAGGGTGAGGGTTAGAAGAGAAGGAGAGATTCTGGAGTGAGTTAGATGAGGTGATGGAGAGTATTCCCAGAGGGGAGAGAGTGGTGATTGGGGCAGACTTCAACGGACACGTTGGTGAGGGGAATGGAGGTGATGGGAAGGTTTGGTGTTAAGGGAAGGAACCTAGAAGAACAGGTGGTGGTGGACTTTGCTAAGACGATGGAAATGGCTGTAGTTAACACCTATTTCCAGAAGAGGGAGAAACATAGAGTTATATATAAGAGTGGAGGTAGGAGTATGCAGGTAGACTACATTCTATGCAGACGAAGCAATTTGAGAGAGATTAGTGACTGCAAAGTGGT